TGGGGCTCATTCCCAAATACAAATTAAAACTATGCTGGGGCCAGGCGTGGTGGCTCACACCTGTAATCCCAGCACTTTAGGAGGCTGAGGCAGGCAGATCACCTGATGTCAGGAGTTCAAGACCAGCCTGGCCATCATGGTGAAACCTCGTCTCTACTAAAAATACAAAAAATTAGCCAGGCATGGTGGCGCACTCCTGTAGTCCCAGCTACTTGGGAGGCTGAGGCAGGAGAATTGCTTGAACCCAGGACATGGAGACTGCAGTAAGCCGAGATCATGACGCTGCATTCCAGCCTGGGTGACACAGCGAGACTGCGTCTCAAAAAATAAATAAATAAAATAAAAATAAAAATAAAACTATACTAGGCTGGGTGCGGTGGCATGCACCTGCAGTTTCAGCTATGTGGGAAGCTGAGGCAGGATTGCTTGAGCCCAGGAGTTTGAGGCCAGCATGGGAAACATAGTGAGACTCCATCTCAAAACAAAAGAGAAAGAAAACACACACACACACACACACACACACACACAAACCCTACACTGGGATGCCATTTGTCCACTATCAGACTGGGGGGAAAAAAAAGGGTCACATAATACACAGGGAGGGGGCTCTGGGGTAACAGGCGCTCCCCTACACAGCTGGTGGGAAGGTGAGTACAACCACAATGGAGAGCACTGGGGGAGAGCTCCGAGAACTATGCATGCATAGGACCTTCCCACCAGCTCCTGCTCTAAGAACGTATCCAAAGATATACTCCAGCACAGAGAAGATGGCTTGTGCACAAGGGGGTTCACTGCAGCATTGCTTGTGTAAAAAATCCTGGTGACAACCTGAATGTCTATCAAAAGGGGACTGCTACTAAGTACGTGATAGTACATCCATTCAGTGGAACACTCTGTGGTCAAGAAAACCAGTGGAGAAGTTCTTACTGGTCTGACACAGAGTCACCTCCCAGTTATAACTAATATGTAAGGAAAGCATCTTCAAGAACTGTGAAGATGAAATTTTACCAGGCATATATACAAAAAAGTGTGCATGTGTGTGTGTGTGTGAGAGATCTGCTTTATTTGATTATGTAAGATAACCCTGGAAGGTCACTTAAGAAACTGATAGGCCAGGCGCGGTGGCTCACGCCTGTAATCCCAGCACTTTGGGAAGCCAAGGCGGGAGGATCACCTGAGGTCAGGAGATCGAGACCAGCCTGGCAAACATGGTGAAAACCCCACCTCTACTAAAAATACAAAAATTAGCTGGGTGTGGTGGATCATGCCTGTAATCCCAGCTACTTGGGAGGTGGAGGTGGGAGAATCACTTGAACCGGGGAGGCAGAGGGTTGCAGTGAGCCAAGATCATGCCACTGCACTCCAGCCTGGGAGACAGAGTGAGACTCCATTTTGGGGAAAAAAAAAAAAGAAGAAACTGATAATGCTTCTCATAGTAACTTGGTGGCCAAAAAAAGAAAAAAGAAAAAGATTGTATATATAAAAAGAAAAAGAAGCTGATAATGCTGCTTGCCTACAAGGAGGGAAGGGGAATATCTGGGGTCAGAGGTGAAAGGGAGCCGTTTTACTGTGTACCCTTTTGAAATGTGAAGCTTGTGAACATGTGACTTAATCAAAAGTAAAACATAAAAATTTTAAAGGCTACTTAAAAATTTTGTTTTTGTTTTTTTGAGATGGAGTCTCACTCTGTTGCCCAGGCTGGAGTACAGTGGTACAATCTTGGCTCACTGCAACCTCCGCCTCCCTGGTTCAAGCCATTCTCCTGCCTCAGCCTCCCGAGTACCTGGAATTACAGACGTACGTCACCACACCCAGCTAATTTTTGTATTTTTTAGTAGAGACGGGGTTTCACCATGTTGGCCAAGTTGGTCTTGAACTCCTGACCTCAGATGATCTACCTGCCTCAGCCTCCCAAAGGCTGGAATTACAGGTGTAAGCCACTGAGCCTGGCCTTAAAAATGTATTTTTACAGGCCCATTTCTGTAATTCCAGCACTTTAGGAGGCCAAGGCAGGTGGATTGCTTGAGTCCAGGAGTTCGAGACCAGCCTGGGCAACATAGCAAGACCCTGTCTCTAAAAAAAAAAAAAAAGAAAAAAAAATTAGCTGGACATAGTGGTGGACGCTTATAGTCCCAGCTACTTGGGAGGCTGAGGTGGGAGGATCACTTGACCCTGGGAGGTCAAGCCTAATGTGAGTTGTGATTGTGCCACTGCACTCCAGCCTGGGCAACAGAGAGACACTGTCTCAAAAAAAAAATTGTATTTTAAGTCCATAATACAGGTTAAATCCTTTCCTTTCCTGAATGAACTGTACCCCTGGTTATCCAATACTAAGGAGGGAAAGTGCCTCATTCCAGAATTCTAATTAATATACAAAGGAGTGACTAAATGAGAAGCTCACAGTTTTGCAGCCTCTGGTGAGTGGATTGGATCTTGAAAAGAGAGACAACAGGCATAGGGACATCCCGATGGAAGAATACATTCTACTTATGGAGTCTTAATTAATTAATTAATTAATTACATGATGTACATGTAATTACATGATTGTACAAAATTACATGATGTACAAAATTACATGATGTACAAAATTACATGATGTATTTAATTAATTAATTAATGTAAAATAAAAGCAACCAGAAGAACCTGAATCTGACCTAGCTTTAGATCCAACATCCAATTTACAGGAAATACATGGGATAAAGAAACATGTTAATTGACACCATAAGGATGCAACCAACAAAATCCAGGCCATGAGAATCTCCAAGGACAACTGGCCCAGTTTCCTGAACAAATAAGTTAAAAGGGACTTAAAAGACAAAGCAGGGGCCGGGCACAGTGGTTCGGGCCTGTAATCCCAGCTCTTTGGGGGACCAAGGCAGATGGATCACCTGAGGTCAAGACCAGCCTGGCCAATATGGTGAAGCCCCCATCTCTACTAAAAATACAAAAGTTAGCTGGGCGTGGTGGCACACACCTGTAATCCCAGCACTTCGGGAGGCCGAGATGGGCAGATCATGAGGTCAGGAAATCGAGACCATCCTGGCTAACCCGGTGAAACCCCGTCTCTACTAAAAAATACAAAAAACTAGCCGGGCGAGGTGGCGGGCGCCTGTAGTCCCAGCTACTCAGGAGGCTGCAGCCATAGAATTGCTGAACCCAGGAGGGAGAGGTTGTAGTGAGCCAAGATTGCGCCACTGCACTCCAGCCTGGGCAACAAAGCAAGATTCCATCTCAAAAAAAAAAAAGAAAGAAAAGACAAAGCCACCATTCACATTTTGTGAATGTCTATGGATCCAGCTTCAAACAAATTGTAAAGAAAAAACTAAAGCAAGACTATCTGTGAATTTTTTTTTTCCTGTTCTTGAGACAGTTTCACTCTGTCACCCAGGGTGGAGTGCAGTGGTGTGATCTCGGCTCACTGAAGCCTCTGCCTCCTGGGTTCGAGCGAGTCTGGTGCCTCAGCCTCCCCAGTAGCTGGGATTACAGGCGTGTGTCACCACATCTGGGTAATTTTTGTATTTTTAGTAGAGATGGGGGTTTCACCACGTTGGCCAAGCTGGTCTCGAATTCCTGACCTCAGGTGATCCGCCCTCCTCAGCCTCCCAAACTATTGGGATTACAGGCCTGAGTCACTGCACCTGGCCTATCTGTGACATTTATGAGACATATGGAAAATCTAGACACTGGCTATTTGATCATATTAAGAAAAGATTATTAAACCAGGTGTGGTTGCTCACGCCTATAATCCCAGCACTTTGGGAGGCCAAGGAAGGAGGATCACTTAGGCTCAGGAGTTCAAGACCAGCCTGGGCAACAAAGTGAGACTTCGACTCTACAATAAATAAAAAATCAGCAAGCCTGGTGGCATGCACCTGTGGTCCAAATCACACAGGACCTGAGGTAGGAGGGCTGCTTGAGACCAGGAGGCCAAGACTGTAGTGAGCCATAAAGAAAAGAAAAAACAAAGAAAAGATTACTAACTAAAATGTTTTTAATGCACTAAATGAAATACCTTGGCCCCCTGCCTTGGGGCTGTCTCCACAGCCTCCCCGACACTGCTGTTGAGCGGGCTGCTCACACCGATCAGACGCCCCTGTTCAAACATCAGGCAGGCCCAAGCTCTCCCGCTGAGGCAGGCTCTCCTTTCCTTGTACCAGTGCTTCGTTGCAACCCCCCTGGCTGCCATGGGCTCGCACCTCCCTGCCTTTGCTTATGCCTTGCTTCTGCTTGGAGTGCCTGCTGCTCTGCTTCAACCCTACCCATCTCTTGAGGCTCTGAGCAAATTCCATCTCCACAAAGCGGTTTTTCTGACCTCCCCATCCCTCCCATCCTTCTGAGCCTCCAGGACATTCCCTCTGTCCCATGTACATATCACTGACCACTCGCTTCCTTACTCTAGAATTTTGGGGATCTACGTCTCTTCATCACTAGAGGCTGTGAGGTCCTTGGTAGCAAAGCTGAATATTCTAGTGGATTAAAATCAGGAATTTTGGCCTGGTGCAGTGGCTCATGCCTATAATCCCAGCACTTTGGGAGGCTGAGGCTGGCGGATTGCCTGAGCTCAGGATTGCCTGAGCCCCTGAGTCTGGAGGAACACAGTCCAAGGGCGTTCAGGGGAGTTGGAAGTAGGGGGTTTCTCCTGGACTGCCGCTGCAGGCCTGCCAAGTGTCTGCGCCAAGCCCACTGAGGTCATTGGTGAGCGGTGTCCGCATCTGTGTGTGGTGGCGCTGGCCTGGGGCAGCCACACATGCTGTGCACTGATGTTGGTGGCCCTCACTAGGTGCGAACAGGGTGTTATTTTGTCATTTGTCTCCAGGCAGGACCCTGTGTGTGTTTGTGTGTGAGTGCTGAGTTCATGTCGATGGTTTGGTGCCTCTGAGCCTTCCCGTGAACGGGTAAGGCGGCATCTGGCTGAAGGTCTATGTTGTGGTGCAGGTGTTGGGCCCGGCTGTGTGTATCAGGGCATATGTCTGTGTTGTCGGCGAGGCAAGTGTACAACCGCACGTGCGTGGGTCTGGGGAGTGTGCCTGGGCTCCCTGGTATGTGTGATACACACTTTGTGCATCTGGGTATACCTTTGTGGGCTGATTGGTGACTATGTTGAACTGTATGCTTTCTCTGTCCGTGTGCACCCATGAGGTGGGAGACAGCGTGCTGTGTCATCTGCATGTGGGTGTTATGGGTCCGCGGTGGTGGGGTGACTGTTCTGTGCCTGTGTGGGGTTGTGCAGCATCTGGCTGTGGCTGTGGGTTACGATGTGCATATTCTGTGAATTGGAGTGTTTCTGTCCCTAAGAAGCAAGTGTAGGCGCAGCCCGGTTTTAGGGTCTCACTATGTTGTTTGTGGCATGTTTTGTGCATCTGTGTGTCTCTGTGTGGGGCCCAGTGTGGCCTGTGTCGTGTACACACTGCAAATCTGTGTGAAGCAAGTGCTGTTTGCCTCTGGGACACAGAGGGGTTCAGGCTGTTGCCGGGTTCTCCTCCCGCCAGAGCCAGGACCCTGTCGGCCACACCTCACCCCTTTCCACAAACTTCACCCCGCACAAAACAGCCTTTCAATTGTACTTGTAATTCAAAAGGGAAGGAGGCTGCCACTAAGCCAGAGATGAAAGAAGTTGACTGTCTCCCCTAGCAACCGCTGCCCTCGGACCGCCATTCCATTTACTCTTTCCAGGTTG